ACCTGTCATATGCCTTTTCCAAATCCATAAATGCCACAAAAACCTCTTTACCCCTATCTAAATACTGTTCACCTATATGTTTCACTGTAAACAACTGGTCTACACACCCCCTACCTTTCCTAAAGCCTGCTTGTTCATCTGCTATCCTACTCTCCATCTTACTCTCAAATCTTTCAATACAGTTTATAAAAAATACAGTACAGGTCTGCCATCACAAATCCAGCATCATTGGGTCCTGTAGTGTGCTGGATTATTGAGTTTGCTAAATTACAGAGTAGTTAGGTTACAATACACTTAATACAGTTAACCAACTTGACTTACAAAAGTTCATTGAACATCGGCAATAATCGAACATTTCCACTACTTTGAGCTCAATTTCAAGGTACTTTCTGTTGTGAAACCAATCAAAATTATATCTATTTCTGTAATATATCTTCCATTCTATCAAATGAGACCAAAAAACGAGAATACAACCATAAAAACCATATGAAAACATACAGCTACGGAGCGGCTATGGCCGAGAAGTGAACTCCGTTATTTAAGGTTAGATTTCTTTCATTTTTTGTGTACGTTAAGAAGCATCTTTCCATCATACATTGCCCAAGTTTCAAGAAGAAGGCCCAACAAACAACTGAGAGAAAAAATATTTACCAAAATTCATATATGACAAGCCCAAGCCAGGCACTGGAAATAAGTCACCGACTCTTTTGGGTTATCCTAGGTTCTCTACACATATGCTGCTATGTATGATATTTATGTAGAGAAAATAGCTTTTTTGTTTCAGTTTTATGATGCAGTATGAGTGTATATCACAGTTAGCCTCGTGCTGTACTCCATTTTCTCTAATATAAGCCCCCAAGACAGGGATAGGAGAATGGTACCATTATCCCACATCCTCTTCAATACCTCTGTCGAACCGCTCAGTATTATGCCAAATATTATTAATTCTGGAGTATTTAACATGTTTTTATGTTATTTATATTGTTTATTATGCTATATTAAATCAGTTGTCATATGCAAATAAGATGTAGTGTTGATATTAACCCTTTCAGGGTCCAGAGGCCATATTTCAGTGTGCACCAGGGTCCAAGAATTTTAAAAAAAAATTTGTTATTTTTCCTTATGAAATGGTAGAGAATCTTTGTCTGAAGGTAATAAAACAAAAAGTACAAAATTTGATGGAAAAATTGACGAAATTATGCTCTCGTGAATTTTGATGTGTCCGTGATATTTATGCATCGGCGATTTTGCCGACTTTGACTCCCATTTTAGGCCAATTACATTACTCCAGTCGACCAAATTCTTAGTTATTTCACTAGTAATACTTCTATTCTATCGATTGAGCACAAGAAATCGCCACTTCAACTGTTTCAACTACAAAATAAAAGTGATCGGAAAATGGTTAATTGGCCAATTTAATGTAAAGTTCAAAATGCTTCAAAATAGGGTTCAGAATAAACAATGTAGGCATTCCTGGCACTAAACTAACATTTCCTCTGTTCATTAGTTATGTTTTGAGGCTTTAAAAATGAATTCTATTTTAATTTTTTATTCACATAATGAATTTTTATTCAAACCAAAAAATAGATTTACTATTATGCAATATTGTAATTGTATAAATAATATCACCACATTTGTGAATGCATATTAGACCCACCAGCTGGTGTGTATTAAATGTCTGAGGTCATTTGTTAATTCTTGAATCAGCAAAAATTTAACATTTCCACTACTTTGAGCTCAGTTTCAAGCCATTTCCAGTACTAATACCAATCAAAATCATCTCTATTTCTGTAATGTATCTTTCATTCTATCAAATGAGACCAA